TTGGACTCTCTGAAACCTCTGCAGCACTTTGCAGACTGAACCACCTCCCTGCAATACAGTGCAAGTGGCAGAAACTGTAGTTGAAGGCCATTTTGGGAGGCATTTCAAGGGTAGAATGCCAAATGCTCCTTTTTCAAAACTAACCCACCTTAACAGTTACTCCCACACCCCATCAGCATGAGTTGCAACCCCCTACCTCAGTGCAAGAGCTGCTTTCTGTGAAGTCTGACACAACATTTTGCCAAGCTTGTGGCCTGGCATACAGAAGATGTGCTGTCCTGGTTTAGCCTGTTTGCTCTTTGCTTTCAAGACTAATAATAATAGCATGTACAAGGAATATGAACTGCTGATTGCCACCAGGGAGTCGATGTCAGGACCGACCACAGGACTTTCTCTTCCCCCTCTGGTTTAGATTTAAGACTAGAAGAAGGCAGAATCCCCCCAACCCCTAAGTATTAGGAAGCCAAGCCAGAAGGTGCTTCAGTCTGCATTCCTATGAAGCATTTTAACCATTTAATAGAAAAGCAGATTGTTTACTTCCAAAAGGTATGATAGATATTAGCCAGCTGTGACTATGATAAGCTTCAGAGACAAAGTTTAATAACTATACTGTCTGTTGAAGAACATGAGAAGGCAGGATCAGCCCTGGTCATACCAAATATTAGGGGCCTGTCATTTGCTGTCTCCCTTGGGGCAGTAGAACATTTTTCCTATTCAAGTCTGAGGATGCCATTCATATTATTTGTCTTTAAAAGTCTGTTTCTCAAAAATTAGGAAAACTCACACCAACTTTCAACACACTTCAAGTTTTGAGAGAACATAAAAGGTTGTATTATCTCTAGCTTACTTTTCCTATGAAACAGCGACTAGATACTGATTAAACTGAACACTTGTTGCACCTCGCCACGAGGAAAGAAGCCTTACACACAACTGGTGTATAGCTGTAGCTACTCCCCTGCTGATCTAGTAGAAGTTTATTTCTTCTTTGTAAAACAAGTACAAATGCACACCAGGAGCCAGATAGTTTTTATATTTATCTTCCATCTGGTTCTATGTGGGACATGCTTAAATGAGAATTCAGTGACCACCACAGGGCCCATTGTACAATGGGCGCTGCTGAATTCTTCCACAATAAAAAAAAAAAAGACTGTTTGGTTATTTAAACATAGTAACTCTACAGACAGGCATGGGTTCAAAACTGGGGGAGAAATTGACAGGTACTTTATTTACAAAGTAACTTAACTGTTTTATACAGTACCTCAGGAGCAAAAACTTGATCCCTGTTCAGCTCCAGCCCATCACACTTTCTTGGGCTTTAAGACATTATTCAGATTTGCTTATACTTCATTTTAGTGATGGCTTTCTAAGAACATAAAAATTTAAAGACAGTATTTCCCCAGCTTCAGCAGTAAGTATAGTTACCCCATTCTGATGGGAAATGCAGGAGAAAAAAAAAAAAAAAAAAAATCAGGGTTCTTCTTGTTATTTCAGTTGCAAAGCAAAAACACCGGGAAGCCAGCATCCCTTTCATGCAATCCTCTTTCCTGAATAAACTGTTTCTGAAATACTAGAGAACCAGAACAGGCGGCTGGTTGTTGGGCTTTTGCTTACAGCTCCCAGCTCCTTTTAGCCAAATCTTGGGCTCAGCAGCATGGGGCTGTCTGTGCCCATTCAGCCACATTTTTGGCTGGCTGCTCCTTTCTGGGTCTGTTTCTATGGTATTTCCTCATCCCTTTCCCACCTGCATCTCTGCTTACAGCAACATTAAATGAAAACCTTTGTTTAGGGTTCTGACAGACTTGGGCTTTTTGACGGAGCTGCCTTTTTTCCTAGTGTTTGGAAGGTAAATCCTACACTCACCAGTTTTAAGCAAAGGCTAAGCTTCATCTACGATTACAGCATTTGTTGAACACAAACTAAAGAAAAAAAATACTTCTACCACTTCCTGCCTTTAATTTCAGTAATGCTGTTTCTGGACAGTATCTTTGCATTACTCTGTTGATACACCAGATGAATCCTTTCCAGTCAGGTTTTCACCATAATTAAGACCCCTAATGGCAAAGTGAATGAATAAAGCACTCAAATGGCAAGACTCTTAGATGCACTAGTAATAAAACACAGTATAAGAAATTATAAAATTCACCACCTGAATTGGCCATAGAAGAAAATGCTTCAGAAAATTCCTAGTGAAAGAACACACATCTACCAAATTAAATACACTGTGAATCCATTTTCTGGCTAGCTTCAAATATTTGAAATAAAAAAACCCTCCCTGGTAGCATTCCAGGCATCACAAGAAAACACAGTCAGTTCAGTGAAGAATATGATACTGACTAGCTTACTTGGTTTGTGTAACTCCAAAATGCAACAGTTAACATCCAAAACAGTAACAGAAGGAAAAGGTTTGGCTAGACTAATTAGAAGGTTTCTCCTCAGCTGCCACTGTTCAGCACTGTCACAGGCAATAAGAAAGTTCATCCTTGCCATCATTGTCCACTGTGGAGAAAGGGAGCTGTGGTTCACACCACACTAAGCACACAGCAGCCAACACCCCTTCTGGCCTCAATGTTAAGCAATCAGATCACAGGTTAAAAGAAACACCAAAGAATAACCACAGAATATGCCCCGGCATCTGCCATTGCAGCCTGCTCAAAATGGAAATTCCTCCACTATCCTCATGAGAGCATTATTCCACTGTAGCAGTTTGTTTGTGTAATATCTTCTTTTATTCTCCAACTAGTCTTGAGGTTGAAGAATGGGCTCTGCAATGACTCCCCTTGGGACAATGGCTGACCCTCACAACCTGACAACCATCTGCTGAAATTAAATTTAGGGAATATATGCCCATACAATCCTGGCCACCAAAAAAAACCACACTGAATATAAACAATTTAAATTGAACTGAAAAAGTGGCCAAGGAGCCATTGCATCGCCTTGCTTTATAGCAAGGACTCTGCTATACAAAAACATAGCTGCAATAAAATTCTGATTCCTAATGTGGGAAACGTAAACCACAGCAATGTTATTCTCTGTTATTTTTTTTTTCCTCCCTGAAAAGTAACACTGTGCTGTTTCTCCTTTTATTTCATTTAAAATGGATGTCATTACACACAGTCAAGTCCTGACCACTACAACTGGACCCTAAGGAATTGAAAAGGCTCATTGAGTGGAGCACAAGACAGAAGGTCATCAAACCAATGCCACATTACTCTCCCTCGATATCTGATGGAGTCATGGGAGCAGTTTGGATGCCAGATGACATGAATATTTATCTGTATGATTTTAAAATTGCATTGTGACTTTGAAATGACACTTTTCATGTGCCCTTGTTGTACCTTAGTGGCACTGTGGGGAAGATGCAATGTCAAAACTCTGGCTTCGACATGGGTGTCACCTGCTTTTCTTCCTTTTTTCTTTTCTAGTATTACCACTTATTTTGAATCAAACTGCAGCTGGAAGAAGCCTCAACCAACCAGCCTGGAGAACGAAGGAGCACATTAGCAGATTTGTGAAAGAAATCAATAGAATGCTGTTAGCTCAAGATGTTTTCCCAAAGAAGCTGTGGTCTGTCTGTATGCAGCTCCAGTAATGAAACCACCAATCTCTACAAGGAAAACATTTCCACCAGAAAGTTTCCCTCCTCTCAAGAAATCCTATTTCAGTTCAGAGGTAGATAGGACAAAAGTAATACTTGTCTTGAGCTTCCAAGAGAAGTTTCTTAAAGACAAAGCACCATTATACTGGTCAGTGGGATGAGCAGGGATCTATCTCAGCCACTCTTGCTCATTCTACTCTGTTAGAATATCTATTTGTCCTGGGTTTCTTTTTTGAACAAACCATACATAAATAAAAATTCCATTTCAGACTGCAGCATATCTATCCAGCCTGGACATCTCCTATAAGGAGTTGAGAACATTCTCTGACAAATCAGGCTGTCAAGAGGCCTGCTTCTCCTCCTCCTCCAAAGGACAAAAAAAAAAAAAAAAAAAAAAATCAACTAAAACCCACTCACATCAGCACCTCTGGTTCCAGCCTCTGACAGCAGAGAGCCATCAGAGTTATACAAATGTAATGAACTAAAGACCAGGTATGAAATTTTAGTTATCTGTGATGACAAAGGACAAGCGAGGACCATCTGAAATCCCACAAGCTTTCTGCAGGCCTAATGCTGATTAACCAAAGAAGCATAAGATGACAAGATGCTCCCAGGCAAAAGACATCAAATATTTGGTGATGTCCGATGGAAAGATTTAAAATGTTCCAGAGCACACTTCCTACCTACATGGGCCTTTTTTTTTCTACAGCATTTTCCCCTATTTCACTTCCCTCCTCCCAGACCACACTGCTCTTTCCCCCGCAGACCCCCTGCCCTCTGCCCTTGCTGCTCCTTTGTCCCGATGCCCGCCTCCCACGGTTGGTTGCTTTCCCCCAGCTCAGCTCTAAGCCCCAACTGCGAAGCCCACCTTAAACCAGCCGCCCGTGCACGCACTTCTGCTTCTCGTCTGCCATCCCCCGGCACACACCTTCCCTCCTCTCCCGATGCGCCGGTCGGGCTCTGTTCTCCGCCTCAGGGGAGATGAAAAGCAAACCAAAGCCTCTGCAGCAGCGGGTTCCTGCGTGGGGCCCTGCAGCCCGCACCCACGGCCCCCTTCGGGACCGGTTTTCTCTTCCGCGCCTATCGCCACGCGGCCTCCCTCTCTCGGGGGGGGGGGAAGGGGGGGAAGCCGAAAAATAGTGGCCCGTACGGGGATCGAACCCGCGACCTTGGCGTTATTAGCACCACGCTCTAACCAACTGAGCTAACCGGCCCTCCGAGAGCGCCCGTCCTGGGTAGCGGCCCAACCCCGTCGCCGGAAGCACGCCGCTGTCCCGTCAGCGTCCCGCGGGGCGAGCGGCGCTTCCTCGGGGTTTGGGGATGCGGTGCCCGGGGCGCCGGCTGCGCTTTGTCACGGAGACCCACAGAGCTCTGCCTGCCAGGGCGTGTTTGTGCTGCCTGCAGGAGCAGAGCCTCCAGCCTGCGACAGGGACAACAGCACGAAACTTGTTCCCACTGAGGACAGGGAGGCAACGGAGCAGGCTTCGGGGTGAGGACATGCAGGCTCTGTCCCTGGAGGTTTTCCAGGCAGCTTGGGCTAAGCCCGGAGCAGCTGCCATGCCTACCCTCGCAGCAGATGCCGCTCTGAACACGGTTTTGGGCAAGACATCTCCCGGGGTTCCTTCCTTCCAGAGTTATCCCATGACCTGAGCAAAACTCAGTACTGCCTGCAGCAGGAGTGAGGCTATGAACAAACCCATTGTCCTCTGATGAACCAGGGACCAGGCAGGGTTGACCAGCATCTACTGAAATTCACCCAGCAGTAGGGTTGAATGAACCGGAGTCTGTAAGCACTTACCTTCCCTGGAAGGATATAACAAGACAGGGAAGAGTTAGTCACAATCCCTTTTTATCCCCGTTTTGTCTTACATAGTCAAAGGTTTCCATTTTTTGAAAATGTTAATTTTCCTGGCTTAGACTGTAATAACAAATAAAAAAATAAGCTTTTCAAATGTTTGGTCTTCTTGGCAGAGCTCATTATAGAGGAAAAGTTAAGGACTATCTGTATCACAGCTTGGGATCAAAAAGACTGACTCGGGATCACTGGGATGTTTTTTTCTAGTCCATACTCACCCTTGTGGCCAGTGCCCCTGCACACACTTCTTTTTTGCTTTACTCATGCCATCAGTTCACCTTTACTACTGTTAGCCTATCTGCTACCAGCACCTTCCACAAAGATCCACTAAATTCCCCAGACCTTTGCCCAGCTTTGTCATAAAATCCTTCATCCCTAGGAGCCAGCGGATCAGATCATTTAGATGCCATTCCTCTTCAGCTGTCCCAAGCCTCACATCTCTGCCTCCCAGTCGTGCCATCCTCAGCACCACACCCAGTCACCTCTCCACCTGCAGAGAGGAGCATTTACTCCCCTCTACCAGTAACTGCAACCATCACTGCCATTTGCAACAGCATATGCAGAGTCATTATCATACCTGAGCTCCATCCCTTGATACTTTAACTGCTGCTGCTCCTCGTCTAACTGAATCTCCTGGTTACATCGTCATCTTTTATCCACCTTGGACATCTTTCTCTTCACCCCTACAGAATGGCAGCAGTGTTAAAAACTAAATAAATATAAGGGGCCCCAGGTTACAGTACACATGCAGCAATAGTCAAATAGTAGATAACAAGCTTCACTATGCAGCGCTAACCTCTGAAGACTCCCACAAAGCATATGTCCTCTTTTTCACTCTTGACAGTCTTGTTTCATCAGCCCAGGAAACTCCTTCAGGCTGTAAGGGGCTCTCAACAAGCAGAGGAAGGAGCACAGGGGGAGGTGGGAAAGCAGGAGTCTCCACACTGTCATTTCTCCTTCTCCTTTTCTATTTGATCTCCATGGAGTAGCAGCCAGCCAGTTGCCAGGAAGCACATAGGTTCTGGGATATCAATAACCAACTGTATTTTCTGGGAAATGTCACCCTGCGTTAGGCTAAACTCACTCAAACAGTCAACAGCAAAGCCACATGTAGAATCTTAAGACAAAGCTGAAAAGTGGAAGGACAGAAAGGAAAAGTACTCCCAAACAAGCCAGAGCATGGGCATGTATATGCAGTCTGGGTAGTATCCAGACCGATAGAGCATAAGTGGCAGGCGCAGGAACAGCAGACCTTCATTTATGTGTCTGGCACACAGACTCTCAGTCTGGTTTTTGGTAAGAAACAGCTGATTTTTAGGTTGGTTTTTTTTTTTTGGTCAGTTGCTCCACAGAGAGCAAGGGTCAGGGGTCATGGCTAATCATCTCTCTGGCCTTTCTGTCCAGAATATTAACCCCAGAAGTTGCTGAACTCAAGAACATAGTGCCTCTTAATTCACAGCTGTCCACCACCGGTTTGTGATCAAATCTGTCCCACTTACGCAATGCTGAAATAGAAAAATTCTGTGCCATTCAGGTGTTTCTTCCCACTGCCTCCTAGCCAAGTTAAGCAGACTTGTCTTTTTCCTCAAAGTTTAATCAGTCACATGCCAAATGCCAATGTCCTGTTGTTCTGAAACCCACTTCTACATGCAGAAATAGCACCCTAACTTGTTAGAAGGGTTTCATTTGGGCTCTGCTGTACAAGCAACGCATTTTCTGTGATTAGACAGTGACAGATGATGTAACAGTCCGGGAGATCAATGCTGTCTCCACAAAAACAAAATTTTCTCATTGAACAGTAAACTCTGGTTTATCTCCAGTATGCAGAATCCATACTCTAAAGCAAAGAAACTGGCCTGGAATAAGAAACAGCTACCAGGCTATATTGTAGGCATCTGTAACATTATGGAATGTAGAGGTTGGGCATGCAAAGCATTTGCAAGCATTTTTCAGTACTGCTGATGTAAGAGAATTGTGTTCACAAGCACTTCATTGAATAGAATCTCAGCTTTGAGGGGTTTGCTAATTCAGGGCTTCACCTAGACATCTGAGCAGCTTCAGACTTTTACAGCACATTTAGATGATCTGCTGCAATATTCCCCTCATGACCTTTCCATTATATATTTTCAAAGACTCAAAAGCATTCATATTTAATAAAACACTGGCAGGCAGCAGGAGACTGAAGAAAGAGCAAGGTCCAAAGTGCTCGAGTTCCATCTCAGATCTTCTTTTCAGTTGCCTGTTCCCTCCCTGCCACAAGTCACCGAGCATCCCCCCACACTGCACCACTGTGCCCGACCTCTCACCTGCCATCTACAGCTACACCACTGGCATTGGCAGCAAGCACCTATCTCACTGCACAAAATGCAGCCCTAGCAATGTGCTCCCAGCTGCGCTGCCGCCCCCCCCCCCCGCCCCAACACAGCTTGTGCTGGCTGGGCTTTGAGCTGCCATTCCAACAGCTATGCCTCAGTGTGCTGTCCTTTCCTTTTTACTGGAGACACATTATCAGATTGTATCAACTTCTCCCACACACTGTGCTCCAGCCTGTATTACACAGCACATGGCACCAAAGAACGTGCCCTCATGAACCCTGCCTGTGTATAAAAGCAAGATCATCTTCCAGGAAAAACAAGATGTTTAGGAAGAAAGCAGAACAGAGCACACTCATGGGCTTCCTCCACCTCTGCCCCTTTCTGAGTGCGTGCAACGCAGGACGCATTAAGATCTTACTTAATGCAGGCCAGTAAGGCATCTGACAAAGTGTTTTTCGGTCACTGCTGACCACCCAGCCCAAAATGGCTTTGAATCAGCAATTTAACAAGAAAGTATAGCTTTAGGCATTCCACAACCATGTCCTGTTTGTGCTACTCTCTCATCAACGGGGGGGCGGGGGGATTCATTAGCTGCCCAAATAAAAAGGTACAGGGAACTACTGTTATCAGCCTGAACGCTACCAAGGGATTTATTAATAAGCTTGCCATTGAAATCTCACTCATAAAAATGCTAATGCAAGTTATTTGCATACGTCTGTGCATTGAAACAGAACACCCATAATGTTATATTTAATAAAATTATTATTACCCAATCATAAAGTAAACATTCAGTGGTCATAAAACGGGTGTTGAAGTGTAGATGCACATGCTTTCTATATTTATAGCATTTTTAATAATACCTACTGTGAGTTTTGAATAAAGCAGTCAAGAGGAACATTCCTGAGTGTTTTGAACTAGAAATCTGCAGATTCATATCTGGAAATCACATCTAGAAGCAGGACATTATAGCCAGCACAAACCACTGCAGTACGTTCCTTGTACAGCAGCAGTGACACCGTCATGCTTTGAACAGAACAACCAAAACTTATTTCACAGCTTCTCTGCTGGCCACCGGATGAGGACAACTCCAAAGTCCCAGGAAAAAGAAAAAACCCTCCCCTTCAGCCATCTAAAATGTCTCACCACCTATGAAAACTGGTCTTGCAGTGTCTGCATGCTGTCACTATGCTTATTTAAGGCCAAATTTACCACAAATCTGACATAGGAGTAAGCTGTCCAAAGGGCACCAAGAAGTCCTTCACATTTCTCAGAAGACCTGGACATGCCCTATGGCACGTAGGCAGGAAATACCCACATCCAGTATATCCCCTTAGCTAGCTCTGCCCCTAAGATGGTGTAGCTACTCACATACAGCTAACTCCCCCCAGCAGGCAGCACTTCAGTTTGAAGCCTTGCTAGCATTGCTTTGGCACCCAGGCTGGTGGTAGAAGATCCCACGTAAAGACATTTTTTTGTTTGCCTGCATCACAGTTCCTGGATCTAGTTTGTTGCCCGGGAAAATGTTTTGAGATGCTCTGCAACTCTCAGCCTCCAGCTAACACCAGGCATCAATTTACCATTTAATACGCCACATTAAGCCTACCATTAGCATTACAGGGATTACCAGTATGAGTTATTATGAATACAATCTCATTATTAGTGCTGAAATTGTTGGCAGCTTTTCCATTGTTAAATAGTGCCTATTTGTTTTTTTCCTGCTATGGGTGTGCAGAATACATTATACTACGTAAGCTTCACGTCCACGTCAAGTAATACTCTTTTGCAGATACAAATAAGTTTGATTTTCCCCATTTTCATTCAGAAAAAAAAAAAGTTTAAGCCAGATCAAGCCACACTCATCCTTTTACATTTTGGAGTAATTTACATTTACAATTTGAAGATGGAATCTAGCTATTGCTCCAGAGCGGCTTGAAACCTCACCCTGACAAAGTAGGGTGCTTCTCCCTCAAAAAATAAAAAACCAACATATTTTTGGTGGAATTCCTGAAATTGCTTCTTTGCCCTACTTTATGAGATTTATGAAAGTCAGGTCCTACTTGACTAACCTGATCTTCCCTGGCAAGGTGACCCACTTAGTGTAGGGGGAAAAAGCTATAGGGGTTGTCTACTTAGACTTTAGTAAAGCCTTTGACACCATGTCCCACAGCATCCTCCTGGAGGAACTGGCTGCTCATGGCTTGGACAAGTATATACTTCAGTGGGTAACAAACTGGCTGGTGGGCCCAAGGAATGGCAGTGAACAGAGTTAAATCCAGCTGGGGGCTGATCACAAGTGGTATTCTCCAGGGCTTAGTATTGGGGCCAGGTCTGTTTAATATTTTTGTCAATGATCTGGGTGAGGGAATCCCCTCAGTAAGTCTGCAGACAACATCAAATTGGGCAGGAATGTTGGTCTACTTCAGGGTAGGAAGGCTCTGCAGAGGGATCTGGACAGGCTGGATTAACGGGCTGAGGCCAGTTGCAAGAGGGTCAACAAGGCTCAGTGCTGGTCTTGCACCTGAGTCACAACCCTATGCAAGGTTGCAGGCTTGGGGAAGAACGGCTGGGGAGCTGCTTGGTGGAAAAGGCGGAACTGGGACTGCTGGTTAACAGCCAGCTGAATATGAGCCGTGCTGGCAGTCTGAGAAGCATGAAGTTATGAGAAGCAGCAGAGGAAGTTGGGGTTGTTCAGCTTTGAGAAAAGAAAGCTCACAGGAGACCTTGTTTCTCTCTACAGCTACCTAACAGGATGTTGTAGCAAGGTGGGCGTCT